AAGGCTCCCTAAGGCAAATTATCTCATCTACTCTGTGGGGTCTGGAGAGCCCAGTGAGGGTGGAGAGGAGACAGGGATAGGAGGGCACAGCTGCAGCACTTTAATGCCAGCGTACAGATAGCACCGTTTCTTTGAACCTAACTCAGCAGTGTCGTTCCCTACTGACAAATCCATTTCCTGCATGTTGTCTCCCGTGGTGTGTTTTCAGGATCTTTTGGACTCCGATGAGCTCTTGGATTCAGAGGATTTGAAAAAGCCAGACCCATCGTCCCTCAGAGCTCCATCCTGCAAAGAAATGGGCAAAAAGAAAGCCTGCAAGAACTGGTCAGTGCTGGAATTAGCGTATCAGTGAACTCTTCAAATGCAGCATTAAACCTTTAGAGTTGGAGGGATTTTAAAAAGATTGTAGGCAATTTGCTGCTCTTCAAAGCCTAATTTGTTAAAGTCCTTTCTTATCTTAATTATTGGAATGTAAATCCAAATACAACGAGGACTGACCAGTGACTGCTACAAATTACCACGATGATCAAAAGCCACCTTGAAGGTGGCTACAAGTTTGTGCAGCTTGACTAAAACCCTAGTTTCTTATATTTCAAGCAGAAATAGCACACATAGCAAGTGCTGCAGTGTCATTTCCCACTCAGTTTAAACTTGAGCAGTGTTTCAGCACTTGCTGTACAAACTGTGGTGTCGAAGAACAAGGTGAGGAGTGTGAGTCCCAGAGTCAGCTGTTGTGTGACAGAGCGAGGGCTGTTGCGTTGTGAGCAGGGCTGGAACAAGTGTTGATGACTCATGACCTTTAAGCAGAAAGATAACAGGTGACTTCTCTCTTTTTCCACAGCACGTGTGGCTTGGCTGAAGAACTGGAACAGGAGAAGAAGAGCTCACAGCCCAAATCTGCCTGTGGAAATGTAAGTGGTGATTTTTGTCCCTATGCTGTGGTTTGCAGTACAGGATCTCTGTGACTGCTGCCTGAGCTGGCTCACTGCTTCCACACGCTGCCTGTGCAGCTCCTGCACAGCTTGAGGATCTCCATATGGGAGCCCACAGGGCTGGTCAGGGGCTGCCCCAGCCTGGGCACACCAAGTGGGGTGGAGACTCACTTCTTCCATGTGAGCCCAGTGCCCTGCACAGCTCTGCCAACCAGTCCTGTTGAGAAGGGGGCAGAAGAGAAGTGGTCTCTGTGCTGATTGATTCTGAGAGGAACATGTCATCTCTTGAGCTGGAGGAATCACAGGGGAAGAGACCTGAAAGTGCCCCTGATTACAGACAGTGCTTTTCTTTCCCTTTCCAGTGCTACCTGGGGGATGCATTCCGCTGTGCCAGCTGCCCTTACCTGGGGATGCCTGCCTTCAAGCCTGGGGAGAAGATTGTCCTGAAGGAGAACCAGCTGCATGATGCCTAACAAAGACATCCCTGGATGTCCTGCAAAGGACTCTGCTGTTTTTCCATCACTCTGAGGTTCTTCCTGCAGTCCTCCTCATCCTCTCAAACTCATGCTCTCCGGCCAATACTCCGTGTGGGGAGGGGCACTGCGGGCACTGACACTGCTGTGAGCTCATCACTCGTAATCAGCCTTGGGCTACCTGACAAGTCACGTCCCAGACTTCATGTTACACTTTGTTTTAGCTGCTCTGATCCTGGACGCTGGATCACAGCGTGTCCCACCAGCAGAGGGAAGCAGAATCAAGTGTCAGGTTGTCCTTGTGTGCCTGTGGCAGGACCCGGATTTCCCAATGCACGTGTTGTACAGCTCTGATTTGCCCTGATTTTCCCCGATGATGCAGCAGCTCTGGCTCAGCTCCCCGGGGTTTCACTGGGCTCCTGCTCTCTTTGAAATTTGAACCCGCAGCCCCTTACCTTGTGAGGGTGGCTCGGCAGCTCCTGTTACCAATCAGGAGCAGTGAGTATACTTAGCAGTATGTGCTCTTAGAAATGTATGTGATCTTCTTGGTAAAGTCTGGCAGGCATGATGAATTTCCGAGTGGTTTGGGAGTCCCTGCCCTCACCTGTTTACAGCAAAATGACAAAGATTTAGTCCCACCTAGAAAACTCCTGCTCTACAAGATCTGTCTTGCCCTCTCACAGCTTTCAGTCCAATGCAAACTGGTAACACAAGGTCAGTCTGAGACTGTCACCTCTCTTGGTGGTTACCAAGTGAGTTACCTGCAGTGTCCAATATATAAGAGCATAGCAATAACTTAATTTCTAGATGATCTGTGGTCTCCATCTGCTCCCTCTCCATGAGATACTATTTATTTGTGTAAGACCTGCGAGTGAAGTGTCGCACAGGTGTGGGATGAGTGAGCTGTTGACGTTTTGTGCGGGGCTTGCTTCTCACCCAGGGTGGGAGAGGAGGAAAACCCACATCCAGTGTCTCAGTGAGGATTGCTTTGTTTGGAGCTCTTGCTCTTCAGGATGTGACTGCTTGTTGTGTGCTACCTGAGTTACTCACTCAACTCACGGAGGGGGCTGGGATGAAAGGCTGTTCTGTTCTTGAAATAAAAGTGACCAATAGTAAAGCCTTTGTTTTAAGGCTGGGATCAGTGGCATTCTAAGTGGGTCTCTCCTTCTAGTCAGCCTCTCAGTGATTTCTGGAACTGTTGAAATGTTGAGTTTCATCTTGGAGTTCTCCGTAAATTGTTCCTTTGAAAACTTGACTTGAATAGATAATACACATGGGCAAGAACAGATGTTAAGGAAAACTGTTAAAACTTTCTGACCATTCAGATGTTGCTTTAGGACTCACACTTGCACCACCCCAGACTGTCACTGCTGGGACTGAAGCCCCTTCATGCCAGAGCACGGCTTTTCCACACTCTTTTCCTCACTCTTCTCCCCACTCCTTCTCTCTGTCATCAGCAAGAACAGCTCCCAGAGAGACTCGTGATAAACCACCTGTCCAAACAACTTATTGTTCCAATCTTGTGATGTAAGGAAATGGGCAAAAGCCTCTGCTTACTTATGGGTTTTGGGGGTTTTATTGCCTTTTCTTAGTCTCACTGGAAGAGGAAGATCAGATCTCTGTCTTCACATGAAAGGTCCCCGATAAAGGCAGCCCTTAACCTGAACTAGGCTTTCCTTTTAGAAGTGAATAAGATAAGAGAGGCGTGGGGCAGCAGCAGAAGCTTTTGTTTTACACTGATTGACTCAACTGGAATTCCAACAGCTTTCCAAGCACTTTCAGCTACTGCTGAGTTCAGGCAAGGGATGGTTAAGGCTGTATAATCTTGTTCTCTTTAAATAGCTTTACTTGCTCTTGCTGTGCCAGAGGCCCTCCAAGGGTGACAGTGTGGCATTGGAGCATGTGCTGGGTGGGAGTGTGATCCTGTCACGCTGGTTTCAAGGAGTATTTACCCTTCTGGCCCCCTTCCCTAGGGGGTCTCAGCAGATACTGTAAACACTGCTGGAGGCATTGGGTGTATTACTGCTTTATCGTCACACACTTGCTTAGCTGCTTGTGCTAGCAACTTTTTGAGAAGTGAAATTTGGCCGGAGCTGCTTCACCTTTTTAAAAATAGCCAATGGCCAAAGATGCTGCCCCCACCCTTCCTGCCTCCACTTGAGAGGTTACCTCAACTAGTTCCTCAAGAGCCGTGGCTGCATTTCCCCACCTCTTGTTCACTCATGTAACTGCTCCAAGGCTATTTCACGGCTTCTTGCCTGGCTCCTTGTTAAAAACACTATCCCAGATCTGATCCCCCACTAACCTTGGGCATGAAGGATCCCAATGCAGCACTATGACTGTCCCAGCTTTCTCCACTTCATCAGTTCATAACTCCTTCCTGATGAAGCAATGGACCACACTTTTCCTTTTCCTTCCTCTTCTTCTTAAGGTAGTTAAGCAAATGCAGAGCCCAGTGACCATGGCTGCTCGTGACAGGTCACTCTCCGGATATTCTGGTTAAGCAACCACAGCTCCTTCAGCTGTTCCTCATCAGACTTGTGCTCCAGACCCTTCCCCAGCTCTGTTGCCCCTCTCTCACACTCCAGCACTTTTCTTGTCATGAGGAGCCAAAACTGAACACAGGATTTGAGGTGCCTCGCCAGGCACAGAGGCACAGCCACTGCCCTGGTCCTGCTGGCCCTGCTGTTGCTGGTACAAGTCAGGATGCTGTTGGCCTTCCTGCCCACCTGGGCACACTGCTGGCTCATGTTCTGCCAGCTGTCAAACATAAGGTGGCCCACAGACCCCTCTCTGATCCTTGCTGGAATTCTGCCCCAGCGCCCCACCAGGAGGGTGCAGGATGGCTGCCTGCACATCCCACCCGAGAGCAAGCAAGGGGTCTCCTTTCCACGAGGACAGGGTGGGAGATGAATGGTGTCTGCTCTAAGCCAAATCCCCTGGCCCTCCAGGGATAGCTTGGAAACAACCCCCAAGGAACAATGGACAGTGAGGTGTTCTCTGGAGATCCTCCATCTTGCTTCCTTTCTGCAGGCTGGAGGAGAACTTTCAATTTTTAATTTTCCAAAGTACAGGAAAGCTCTACATGCATGAGGACACCCAGCCACTCCCAGTGCAAAGCAGATCCATGTGGATCACAGCAGCAGCACCCACAATGCACCTCTGTGAAGCAAGTGATGCTTTTCCATCATTGTCACTTGTGCTTCAAGTGAGTGAACCAGAGCAAGGTCAGCCCATGTCACAGCAGGTACCTGCTCCAGAGAAAAATCCAGAAAACTGCTCCAGGACATGGCCACCCCACCCAGCATGTCCAGCACCAAGGGGACACCAAGTTCTTCCCGGACCATGGTGGCCACACAGTGCACAGGGACCTTCCTGAAACATGGAGCAAGTTGTTAGAGGAGCCTGTCAATGACTGGAGACAGTGAAAAGAGTTGCTGAGACTTGGCCGTGCTTGGAGCTACAGAAGGTAAGGGGAAAACCAGCTCAAGAGTCCTGTCATGATGACATGGATTCTTCCAGGGGAACACACAGCACAGTGGTGGAGCCACTTGGGGGTAGATAGGTGGCTTTGGTCACCAAGATTGCACTTCTGTATGAGCTAACACCTAATTTTTGGGGAGAACAACCCCAACAGATGTACAAGCTGCTCCCCCTCCCTTCTCCCTCATTTGCCCTTTCTGCTGGGGGTGACATCCACCGCTGTGCTGGCTGCACCGGCATCCCCACCACTCTGCTTCTGCTGCGGTGGCTTGATCTCGGTGTAAATGATGTTGGAGGAGGCACGGTTGGTCTCCTTCTTTTCAAAATTCAGGTTGGCATAGGTCAGGTCCTCAGTCCCTGTCACTGGGGCTTCCTGCAGGGAGAGAGCAATGAGTAGAGCTGTGGCTTTCCCCTGTGTCTCCCCTGATAACGTTTTTCCACTGGCACAACTATTTGCACTCCCAAGCATTATCCAGCTTGCTCTGAAGTGCCACCTACTCAGATGCTCATAAGCCCCTATTTAATGGGAATTATTAAGTGTTTAGAACCGTGTTTTCAGAAAGCAAAGCTGATTTTACTCTGAAATCCTTTAAGTGGGTATTCAACAGCCAGTGCTTTTATTGACAGGGAGGAAGAAGTGATATGTGCAAAGTCCCCGTGGCTTACCGTGCTAGGCTGATCCACCTCTGCCACTTCCCTGCTCGTCAGCTTTCCTGGAAAACAAAACATAGTTTAAATAGCAGTTAAAATAATGACAAGGATAATTATTTTAAGTGAAGAAAATATGGAAAAAACAAAGCAAACATTTGCACTGATTTTGCTTTTGTTGTAGTAGAGGATGAGGCTGTCTGAGCTGTCTGGCTTAGAAGATGACCGAGGGGCAGGAGAGGTTGGAAAGGGCTTAAAAGCCCGTGGAGGGCTTGGAGGCCAACAGCCTTACCTGTTCTGTTCCTTCTGCACTGGCACAGCAGGAAGCCAAGGATGGGTGTGTAGATGAGCGTCCCCACCGCAAAGCCAAAGAAGATGCACAGGAGGTTGAGTCCTACACACACAACACCACAGAGGCACTCGTGAGCCACCGTCCCACCGTGCAGGGACACACACGCTGCCGTCACCAAACCTCGCGGGGGTTTTCCAAACCTGGGCTTCCCAAACCCTGAATCACCCACAGCCCCGGGGTGCTGACAAAATCCTGCAGGGAACAGTCCACAAATCTCATCTGAACTCAGGCAGGGGGAGTGGTCAGAGCATCAGAGCCCCTTCCCAGGGTCACAACCTCTGATCCACTGGTGCCTACCCAGGTTTGGCAGTGGCTCCCACCCACTCATGGGAAAACATCAGGATGTTTTCCCCCTTACTGCTCCTCCTTCTTTTTCCCTGAAGATTCCTCCTGCCCCCAACTCTTGCAGCCCTGGGGCTGTGAGGACACACCTGTCCAGATCTTCTCCTCTGTGACTGGGGGGCAACACCCTGAAAAACAGAAGCACGAGTGAGAGAGTGTCCAGAGGCAGAGAACACCTTGCACCATGCCCTGCTTTGGGGCAGGAACCTGGACCTCACAGCCCCAGCTGTCCTGCCACCGCAGCTCCAGCCACTTCAGCACTCAGCTGACTCTGCTGCAGCTGGAGGATGTGGCAGGTCCTGTCTCAAGGAACCAATGGCCCAGCAGCTCCACGGTGAGATGCATCTGCCAAAAGGGCTGGGCTGGGCTGGCCTAGCCCTTCCAGTTCCCAGGATGCTTTCAGGGGAAATGGTGCACGAGGGAACCAGGGGAGCATTGGTCGTAGCCTCCTTCTCTGCCCACTCACCACGCCCATGAAAACAGACCCACTGCCACTTACTGGGAACTGTCTCCCGTGTGCCTTTTCCAGCGCCTGTTGAGTTTATTCCTGTGATGTTGACCCCAAACTCACAGATTCCCACACGGGCTGCACTCAAGCAGGTGTTGATGAAATCCGTACAGTTTTCTCCCAGAGCCATGGTGTTGGTTTGACTCCACGTCTTCGGACCTTCAGGTTGGTTCCACTTCACATGTACTGTGAGATTCTTTGACCAAATTTCGAGCTTGCACTCCTTATTGAAGACTGGCTTTGCTGGCTGGCTGACTGTCCCTGGAGGAAACAAAACCAAAAGTGATAATTGAAATACAAGTCATATATACGAACTTGCAGGGTCATATCCCACTGGCATGTGTTGCTCAGGGAAAGACACAGTGAAGTGACTGCCCTTTCCTCCAGCAGCTGATGCTGTCTTCCCTATCTGCCTGCTAACCACTCCTCGCTGCAATGTTGCAGGTTGATTGGTGTCACTGGACACTGTGCAGTGCACAAGCTTTTCTGTCTCAGGAAGGACTGAAAATGGGAGGACTGGGGGAAAGACACCTCCTCCTCCTCTGACCTAGGCAAAAGGGTCTTCTGGCACCCAAGCAGGAAATGCCACAGGCTTGGGCTCCACCATTTCATGGAGTGTGAGGTGGGACTAGGGGAGGTTGGCTGAGGGGAATTGTCAGTCCTAAAGAAGCAAAGAAATTATAGTAGGCAGATACCTTCAGCCTCTCTGGCTTCATGCCATCCCCTAATGCTCACTCTGGAGTACTTCAGAATCACTCCTGAAACTCTGAGCTGAAGTCACTTCACACCTTCTCAGCAGGGTTGTTCCTCTCTCACCTCTCTCCTCTCTCTTCCATGGGTCTTAGTGGATTTCTGTCCCTTATGACCCTTGCTCTGTTCAGAACATCTGTTCTTGGACATGTCCTTTGTGGTTTCCATCCTGTCCTACTGACACATTGACTGTGGCTGAAATCTGTTGAGTGATTCCTGCCAGAGGACAGCAGAGAGTTGGGTTTTTGCTAAGGAGGATGTTGCTCCACACCCTCCATGTGAAGCTGACCCCCTCCACAGTCATTAGGCTTTTAAGTATTTGTTTCCTTTCCCCCTGTTTTCTCTCCTTGCTCCTGAAGGTAATTCTGGTTCAAAGCCTGAAGCCTGATGTTGGGTCCCTGTGGGCAGAGCTCACAGCCTGTGCACACACAGTTGCAGGGGGGACCCCTCTGCAAGGCACATGACAAGGTGCTGGTGCAGAAGAGGGGGATGAATGCTTGGAGAGGAGAGGAAAAAGCAGCAGCAGCCACTTCCCAAACCTCCCTGCGGGAATACGCAAAGAGCGAAGAGTTCAGAGCAGAGAGAAGAGCACTGGGGGACTCACCAGTTGGCAGCCAGACAAGGAACAGCAGGGCCAGAAAGCCACTGGCCAGCTGGATCTCCATGATTCCCAACAGCCTTGTGGTGATGATGCTGGGTGCCTGGTGGGATAGGCTGGGAATTTCCTGCCTCTCCTGCAGCTCAAGGGTCACTGCTCAGCTGAGATGAGCTGAAGCCCTGCCGGGAGCTCCCCTCCTCACCACTCAGCCAGGCAGTTCCCTCTGTGCTCACAGGCTTCCCCTCTCTTCCCCTTCTCTTGCTTCAGCCCCATTCTTATCTCCACTCCACTTGATTCCTCCTCCGGTTTCATCCTGACCACACACCCTTGGCCCTGAGCCCCTAGTAATGCATCCATTGCTGATGGCCCTTTCACACTGCTCCAGGGCCCAGCCCAGCAGCTCTGTGCTGCTGGCACGGGCAGGGGAGGGGAAAAAGGGCTTCCCCAGTTTCCTACAGCCCCACTGAGTCTGTTTTGTTTTACACCAGGAAATGCAGCCCTTGGAGGAGGCAGTGCTGCCTTCTTATGGTACAAGATCCACAAGAATGACAAGCAAGAGGCTCTGTGTCTCTCTTGCTCTCCCCTCTTGACCCCTTCACCTGTTCCCACACTCTTTTCTGTTGTTCACTTCCTCTCTATACTCGAGGCTTCCTCTCCTTGCACCTCACAACTGCACGACGACACGTACTTGTTGCTTCCTTCCCTTTCATCCCTATTCTAGTTCTCACATTTGCTGGCACTGATGAAGGTGACTGAACACGAGGTGAACCCTTTCCCATATCTCAGAGATCCTGAGGCAGGCAATCCCTGTGGTCACCTCCCAAAGTCTCTGGTCAGAGGATGGACAGGAGCCATCCTGATCCAGGTGCACTGCAGGTAAGTACAACCCTTGCCTAGATTGCCCTTAGCAAGTGGGATTCTTTGCTCAACAAGGAGAATTCTCTACATTCCCATTAGGACATTTGGGAAAGGGGCAGGTCATTAACAGAGCTCAGTAAGACCAAGCCGGTGACAACAAAAACCATGAGCCCTTTCCACGCACAACGTCCTCCCCTCTGATGGATCTGCAGCATCTCCCCAGGAATGGGGCTCAGCAAGGCCTTCTCCAGGGGGCAGTGCCTTCCTAATCTTCCCAACTGCAGTGCTGGCAGAACTGAAGGTTAATGTCTCGCCTTCTGCCGACTCCAAAGAGCTCCTCTCCTACCAGGGCCCCTTCCAGCTCCACAGCAACGCTCCATGATGCTGCCAGGGAGAAAGGGGAGCAGGAGAAGACAATGCTGTTAATAACCCATGAGACGCCCTGTGTCAGTCAGCTGCTACACCAGGCACTGCACAATGGCTGGAGCAGAAGGAAGGCTGCAGAGCCCTCAGCAGCTCCTCACTACCCTGAAGCGAACCAGGGAAACACAGAAAGTGCCCAGGAGCGCCTGCCTGATGTCCTATCACCGAAGCGCCACATTGAGATCCCATTGGCTACTGGCGCTGTCCGTCACCTGAAATCCCGCCCTCCCGCCGCTATCCGGCCACGGGATTGGCCGTTCCCTCACGCGGCGGGTGAAGCCGCCCTGGGCGCCGCCATGTTTGGAGCCATTGCCCGGCGGAGGGGTGGGGATGGTGCTGGACTGTCGCGCATGCGCCGGCCGGGCCGGGGGGGCACCGCCCCGGGAGCGCGCGGCCGCCTCGGGAGCGCGCCCGGCCCGAGGATGCGCCAGGCGGGACAGCCCGGGCGGCCCCGGCCGGGCACAGGTAAGGGCGGGGGCACCTCTGGGCCCCTCCGCTGCCCCGGGGCCGTCGGGCCCTGCGGGGGACACGGCCCTGCCCGAGGGCGCGGGACTGGGAGGGGCCCAGAGTCTCCGTGGGACAATCTCCGGGTGGGCCGGTGGGGTGAGATGGGGCCTGATTCGTCCAGCCCTGTGAGGGCGGAGGGGAGGTGAGCCCTGCCATGCCCTGCCCTGCCCTGCCCCACAGGTGAGGCGAGGTCAGGTGAGCCCCTGCCCGGTCCAGCCCCGCTCCCCCGGTCATGCAGAGCCCCGTGTGCAGTGCCAGGGGCATCCCCGGGATGCCAGCGCCAGGAGCCTGGTGCGAGGGCCGGCTTGGTGTCCGGGGTTTTCCAGCTGCTGCTGTCTCCGGCGTGGTCCCCGCTGCCACCTTTGAGCTGGGGCGGTCCCTGTGGGAAGTGGTGTGCCAGGATCGGGGCCTTTCCTGCTGCACATCCACACCAGGAAGGACGGGCTTGTCTCGAGGTGTGGCGGGAGCTGCGTGAGGCTGTGGGCTCGTGGGGCATCACACAGCCCACTGGCGCTGCGTTAGAAGCACGTTTAGTGACAAAAGCACGTCGGTCTCTGACATCAACACATGAACCGTTTCATGCAGATCCTCAGGTGTGTTTGTGCCAGAAGGCAGGAGGAACAGCCTGACAGGAAAAAATGACTCCACGCAGTGGAGGTGACCTCTGGCTTTTCAGAGTGGTCCAGTGACGTTCTCCCAGCTCTATTCCTGCAGAGACCTCACTGACTTGCAGAGTGATGCCCTCAGTTTCTACCGGCATTTCTGTCACCTTTGCTGATCTCTGCAGAATTGACAGCTCTGAGGCAGCACCTCTGTTCTCAGGAGGTCCCTCCAGTGCAGTAACACCACAGGTGTAAGAGCCCTGCTTCAGAGTGAAAACCTGTGTAGTTCCCGTGTAGATTCTGTCAGAGATTCTCCTGCATCCTTAAGATCTCTGAGGATGTCACAACCAATAACAACCTTATTACTTTTGAAGCTGTTGTTGCAGCCTTTGCTTTCTTGGCAAACTCAGCAGCCACGATCAGCTGGATGGAAACGATGCCCCTGTTGCACGGGCAGGGCTTTTCACAGCTTACCAGAGTCTGCTGCAAGGAACCACCTCCTTCAGGTTGTTTTCTTCCTGCCTTCTCTGAGCATTATTTGGTATGCTCTTGTATGGTGACAGGCAGTGAAAATTCAGGTTTTCTCCATCCTGTGCCACAGGTGACTTGATTACCTGTGGCATCTTTTCCAAACTGAGAAATCTTTTCTCACTTAGGTCTTCCCTATGAGAAGACGTTGATAGTTTTGATCTCCTCTGAATTACTCCCAGTTCTGCTTCCCCCCACCTCAGAGGGGAAGTACTAGATGTGCATGTCGAGCTCCAGAGGACGGTGCTCTGGGAACTTGTGTGCTGCCACAGTGCTGTTCTTGTAGCATCAGGAGTTGGTCCATCAGTAAATCAGCAGCTTTTGTGTGTCTGTGCCAATAGCTCTTAGTGGTACCAGTGCAGAAGCACATCATGTTTGGGGAATAAGTGAGTTTGAAATGAATTCCACCTGAGATTTTTTTTAAAGGGGCTGTTGGATAGAACACAGGGAAAAATAACACTTAAAATGAGTGAGTGTTACAGGAATCAGCACATGCTCTTCTGCTCTCTCTTCCACCTTGCTTTGTGTCTCTTCAAAAAGAAGAGGATGCTCTTTCTACTGTAAGCATTTTTAGTTCTTCCAGCCCATAAACTTCCAAATATAGGTGTGTGGGAACCTCAACAGTTACAGTTGCTGCCCATCCAGTTGCAAGGTTTCATTTTTATTTGTGTCACTTATGTAAAACAAGCCTGGGTACAAGCCATCCTCCTTGCCAGTATCCCAGGATCTCACCCTTTTATGTGGAATAGTAAATATTTCCAAGAGCTTTTTGATCTTGGTTGGTACCTTATTTGAGTGTTCTAAACGCTGTATAAAAAGGGGTTCATTCCAATGAACTCTGTTCACCTTTATGCAGACTGGCAGTGACAGGATCACTGCATCACACAGCACAAGGAAAGACATGCTGAATTAATGAAGTAAATATTTTATAAGCCGTTTCTGTTTCCTGGTTTGGTGTCTACACTAGAACAATACCCAGAAATTCAGCCAGGGTTGAAGTTGCACATACATAACAGATGCTGGGCACCCCCAGACTAGCAAGATGCTGATTGCAAACAAAGCACTTGCCCTGCGAGCAGTTTGATTTGTGTGCTGGTTCTGCCCAGGGCTGTGTCAGGCTTTCCTTTCACGTGCTGTAACTTAATGAGAATCTTAGAACAGGGAGGTGAGTAACCCTCTCTTTCTGAAACAGCTCGTGATTCTTGTTGCTTGTGGGGAGATCTTTTCCAAAGGTGTTGATCTGGCGCTGGTGCCAGTTCTCTTTTTAAACACGGTGTTTGCTTTTTCATCGTGAGCTTCTAATGAAAACTGAATTTGTCATGTTTTTCTTGCTAAAAAAAAAAATCTGCAAAAGGTCAGGAGTGGGTGTAGTAAATGAGAATTCAAAAGGCACGGAACAAAAGCTGGATTGTAGGTTTCTTTGGCGTCACAGATTGAGGAGACTCCTGACATCTCTCCTTGAAGTTGGTGCTGTAGAGGCAGTTTGGGCAGTTGTGGCCAGCAGCTGTGCTAAGGCAGGCCAGCAAGTAGGGATCGAAGGAATTAATTCACCGGGAAATACTTAGAAGAACAAAAGGAGTGTGACTTAACCAATTGTGTAGGGAATATCATAGTTCTGTTCAAACCCTGCTTTCTTGGAGATTAAATAGCATGGGCAGAAGGAGATATTTTTAATGGTCCCAAGTTAAGTAAAGCTTTTAACTACCCACAGTGGACACAGAGGAGCGCCCTTTTCCTTTCTGGAAAGCAGTTTGCTGTGTATTTAAACACTGACAGTGTCTCTCCTTATAGCATTTACCCCTCAGGCAAGACAAGCTCAGTGAATCCAGGCTTTCTCCACAGGAAATATTTCCTAGATGCTCTCTGGAGCAACTTAACAATTTGCCATAAAATTGTTAAGGTCCAAGTGGTTGTTCTCAGCTTGCGTATTTAATTTGGGAGAAAGATTTATGCGCCCCAAAGCAAGCCTTTTATTTCCAGCTATCTCAATCAGTCTAATAAAAGATATTACCTCATCTGACAAGCCTTTATCTCATTTAGGGACTGACATCATCACAACTACAGCAGCTCTGCTTTCACTGCCGGTGTGAGCGATAGACTCTGTGTCCTGTTCCCCCGGTGCTTCCTGTTGCTCCCTGTTTGTGCCTCGCTGTCTCTGGTTTGTCCTGTGTGCTGCCGTCTCTCTCTGTCAGTGTGCTGAGTTTTGAAGCTGAGGAGATGCTCAGACTCTGTCAAGCTGCTTTCTTACAGTTTTTCTACAAATAGGGTTGTTAGACTTGTCCCTTAGTACTGTTATCTCTGCAGATCGCAGGCTTTGGGGGTTTGGGTTTTTATTGGGATGTTAGAATGCTGTACAAAGGACAGGAGGTGGCGTTCGGGCTGGATCTGCTTGATACCAGTACGTGCCTTTTGTTGACAGTCACTTGAAACTTTTCACATTTTAGGAACTGTGGATGGACAGCAAGCCGAGGAGCCGAGCGTTCTACCGAAGGCCTACGTGTAGACCCTGATGGTTGAATGAATGAAGGATGAAAATGCTCCCTGGAGTGGGTGTGTTTGGAACTGGCAGCGCCGCCCGGGTCCTGGTACCCTTGCTGAGGGCAGAAGGGTTCTCCATCGAAGCACTGTGGGGGAAGACCGAAGAGGAAGCCAAGCAGCTGGCAGAGGAAATGAACATCTCCTTCTACACGAGCCGCACCGACGATGTGTTGCTGCACCAGGACGTAGATTTGGTTTGCATCAATATCCCCCCACCTCTAACTCGGCAGATTGCTGTGAAGGCTCTAGGTACCTTTTAATCTTTGGAGTTGGGCCAAAAATCCGTGGCTCGTTGGCCAGGTTGAAATTTGAAGCTGTTACCCCAGCACGGTTCTGGTGGCACCAACGGGCAAATGCAGTGCTGAAGGTTTTGTGTGGAACTGGTAGGGCTGTCTGTGAGAAAGGTTACCTGGGTTTTTCGTAAAAATCCTGTTTATAATTGCTTATAGCTCTGCTTGAACCAATTGGGCTGAAGTATCTCATGTCTTCAAAGATTTTATGTATCAAACATACTAATGAGAGGGAAAAATGTTTTTATGCTCATAAAAAGAAACAACAAAGCGGTCAAAAAAAAAAAAAACCCGAAACAAAACAATTTAAGTTGTTAGATTTATTTCAAATTTTCCCGTTTTGCATTAGAAAACCAAGAATTGCCTGGGATGGGAGTGTTGTTCAGTTCTGCTTTCTGTTTTCCTCACAAATAAAACCAAACTTGGAAGCTGAAAGCCTTTGAAAAAAAAACATTTGCATGCCTAGAATCTTGTGAGTTAGGATCTGACTTGCTGTTTCCAGCTGTGGCCCTGGCCACCGCCTGGAGCTCAGCTGGGACATCCATGTCCACAGCAGACTGGTGTGGTCCCGGGTGGAGGAATCCTTCCATCTGACGCAGGAGGGCAGATGTTGGGGACAGAGGGAAGAATCCAGGAAGATGGGCTGGGTGAAGGCGTCTGGGAGAGAAGGGATGACATCCCAGACTGGTCGGGCAGGGAGATGGGAGCCAAGTGCCCAGGCACCCTGACGTTTCTTAATTCTCCAGCGTGACTTTGTAGTGTTAATGTCCTCTCCTGTAGTACAGCGTGGGTGTCAGTTTGCGTGTAATTCTGAAAATAACAAGGGTGATATTTTTACTGTGTTTACAAGAGATCCACATGCGTTAATTTTAGGGTGGGTAATCTCTCAGACCATGTGAGCCAGGCTGGTTTGTTGTTCTTAGCCTCTTTGCTCTACAGTAATTTCTTTTGGAAGTAAACAACTCCCTGCACAAACATTTGCAATGCCACTTAGATATGCAGAGAGACGTTTCAGGCTTTTTCCCCCCACCTTCTTTTCTTTTCTATATTGTTAGATTTGTTTGTTTACCTCATTAAAGTACTGACCTTTGAATTTAAGGTATTCTGATTTTTGAATATTTGAACTGCAAGTTAGAATTTATCTCTTTAAATATGCTAGAAGTTCTTTTAAGCATTTGTTAGGTAATAGCATTTCACTAGGTCTTGTGGCTCTTGATGATCAAGTCAGCTAAAAGGAGAGGATTGAATCTTCCCTGGTGAATTATTAACGAAAAGGGTTTGAGATTCCTTCTTTGAAGGCTGGCAGCCTGTAAGATGGCATTAACCAGAAGAGGAAAGGGAGGTAGAGCTGGTGCAGAAGTGCAGAGGTGGTACGTATGCTTGACTGCAATTTTGGGAAGTGTAAAGCTGAAAAAGCTGGAGAAGTGGATGGCTGTAGAAGTAAAGGGTAACTTACTCTTCACTTCATCTGTCCTGAGGTGTTCTGATCTGCAAACTGAGGCAGGCAGCTCAGACCCAGTGTGATGCTGACCTTGTCTTTCAGCTTTCCAGGTTCCTCGTGCTGGTATTTGTATTTGCTGCCAAGTATGTTGTGACTTATTTCGAGCCAGTGTTGGGTGCTTTGATGTCATTGTGTGTTCTGAAGGAACACAGAACTAGGGCAGGGCCAAAGATGGCACGTCCATTTTTTCTGGAGGCTGAGATTGATATAGTGATGGTTATAATCAGAGAATTATTGGCTGTGAATTGTGTATTATAAATCAGTGTTTACTAGCCAAGAGACTGGGCTTTAGGAAAGACTAGATGTGGTGCAGTGAAAATGGTCTTGTGATTTGTTTTGTTTTGTTGAGGTTTTTTTTAAAGTGCTGATATTTTTATTACTTATTTGTGTACATTTTTACTTTCTTTTTTTTTTTTAAATTCAAAATGTGCTTCCATTTTTGTTCCTGGCAGGGAGGAGAAAGAGACCCAGTTTTTCTAGGCTGTGCAGTTGGCTAGCTTAAGTTTCTTACTGTCAGACATCCATGAGCAAGCCTAGGTACAATTTTGGCATGATGGGGACAAAGCAGTGACACTGGTTTGAGTTCATGAACCAGACAGAACAGATCAAAGCCCAGAGGATAGTAGTTCACATTAAAATCAGTGTAATCTTATGGTTTATCTCCACAACAGGCAGAGCAAGAAGCTCTCCTAAAATTTGTGCTTCTTTTGATCTCAGAGGAACTAAATTAATTTCACAAAACGTCTGTGTTGTGGTTCAGGTCCCACAGTTAAATGTACCTACCTTTGCATGAGGTGAGCACAGAGTGGAATTACTGGCTGGAGTGGAGTGTAAAATATGGGGTATTTGTCCTGTGAGATGAAGTTCAGGCAGAACATGACAAGTCCTCAGAGTAAAATTTCTTCAGGATGCTAAAGATGCTTAGTCCCACCTGTGAGCTGATTTAACCTTCCTGCTTGGAAAGCGGAAGCTTCCTTTGCCAAACTGGTCCCAGCTGGTGATCCTACCTGGCTCACAGAGGGCTCTGAGGAGCACCAGAACCATGTGGTGGCTCTCATGTCTCCTGGCTGGTGAGGACCTCAACAGAAAATTTTGTGGTTTAGGAAGACAATACGGTAGAAAGTTCCGGTTGTTCATTACTGAAACAACAGTAACAGGCTGAGGGATGTAAGTTGCTCCGCCTTGGAAAACAAAAGACATGGCCATTATGTTGGTAAGGGACCTTGTAGCCAACTTCAGCATCTTGTCCTTGCTGCATGGCCATCTGTGCGAGCTTGGGACAGCAGGAGGGATGTCCCACTGCTGGCAGCTGCAGGATTATCCCAGAGCTGTTATGGTGCACCCAGATCTCTGTCCTGGCACTCGGGCACGGCGGTGGGTGGTGCTGAGCTGTTGGTGCACTGACTGCCCTCCCCAAAAAAGGCATCAGCCAGTTTTAGCTCCTCAAGTGGCTCAGTCTGCGCTGGCACAACAAGCACAGCACTGAGTGAGGGCGAGGCCGGGCAGCAGAGCAAGGGCAGCCTGGGGTGATGAACCAGCCAGTGTGACACGGCTGTCCCCAGGCACCACAGCGGGGGTCTCTCCTGCTCTCCATCCCCCACTGCAGGGACCAGGGCTGTGCAAGGGGGGAGTGGTGCTGGCAGAGCACTGGCTGCAGAGCTGTACCCCGTGTGTTATCTCTGCAAGCTTTGGGGACCGTGGATCTGCTCGGGGTGCTCTGACCGTCCTGTTGCTTTCTCTGTTTGTATTTTACTGTAACCTGGCTAGGGACAAGTGCCATGTAAACAAGAAGGCAGATAAACCAGGGACTGAAGCAGCTCCAGATGCTTCTCAAAGTTGCTTCAGCTATCCCTGCAAAATGCTGAACAGGGTGTTGTGCCTCACCTCAGCAGCAGGATTGGGGACAGGGGAGTCAGAAATGGTCTCTGAAATGGGGGGTTACGAGTGGGGGAGCCAGAGTGTTTGACCTTACCCTTTGTTCATTAAACCTGCTGTTGACTCACGCTGATTTAGGGGTTTTCTGACTTGTCATCTTCTCATTTTCTGACTGGGTTTTGCTTGTGCCTGTTAGAAATGGAAGTTCTGAGTCCCCTGTAGCTGTAGCTGACCCCTGGCTGGGCTGGGCACGGTGTGTCACGGGAGTTTGCTGCCTTGGCCCGCTTGGGCACAGCCGGGAGGTGGAGCAGCGAGAGCGCTGCGGACTCTGCCTTCCCCTTGCGTGTGAGAGACCGATTTAAGCGCCTGTGCCGGTATCTCCTCACTGGGAGTCTATTAAAAGCTGTTCTGAGCAGGGAGCACAGGCTGCTCCTGGGTAAGGAGGAGCTTTCACCCCCTGTGTGTGGTGATTCCTGCAATTCCCGGGCACAAACTGTGGTGTGATGTGATTGACCTTCAGGTCTGACATTGCCACTAAATGTCTGGAGACTTCTACGAATAACCTTGGTTGTTACACTGGAAAATGTCTAGATAAGTATTTTATCAGAACAGATATAAAACAGGAAAAAAACCAGGAAAAGTAGAGCCCTGTCATGAGAAAGGGAATATCAGCAGAGCTCCGAATGTAGGAATTGGTTAAAGCTTGTACTGTGATGCTCTTTTGTATTACTTTGTTTCTGCTTTAAAGTTAAAAAAATTGAATTATCGACCGCCCTCATCGATTCAGGCTGAGCACAATGTAAAGTGCATCACCAGCAATAAAGCCACAGTGGGTCAGCCTGGGAGGGCAGCTCATGTCTGTGTAACTCAGTTACTTTTTGTCTGATTGTATGAGTAGGCTGCACGTGCAGACCAAAAATGTTTTGCTTTCTAATTGGAAATGCTTTTAAAACAGTCCACTTACCTAAACATTATTTCTAATTCTTGTGTGGTTTACACAGAATATGTATATAAAAATGTCTTTGATATATATAATATCTATGTATACACTTTAATACAAATTATATATATATATATAAATATATTTAAAATAATATATTCATAGTGATGGTGAAATACAAAATGAAAATCAAATCTCTCCTTCCTTCACCCCTTCCCTGCAGGGTACATGACTTTTTTTTTTCCCCTCTGGCTCTGCAGGTATTCAAATAATTTTATAACTACACCAGACAAATTGTGTCTTGTTTTGATGCCATGTGGTGCCATTTGGACATTTATCTTTAATGATGTAAAAATCCTCTGCTTATTTGGAGCCTCCCTCTGTGTGAGTTGGTCAGCTCTGCAGTGCATCTGAGAAGCATCACTGAGTCTTGCTGCACTTGTCATTCCCATTTTAGTTCCCAGATCTCTGCCTCTGAAATTGCAGCAGGAAAGCCCGACTCTTAAAATACTTCTTGACAACCTTTGGCCGTCTGAGCGTGTTTTGCTCATGTGTGCTAAATATATATATATATTTTTCCATTTTTGCTGCAGGAATAGGGAAGAACGTGCTCTGTGAGAAAGCTGCTACCTCTGTGGACGCCTTCAGGATGGTCACGGCTGCCAGGTATTACCCCAAGCTGATGAGCATCGTCGGCAACGTCCTGCGCTTCTTGCCCGCCTTCGTGAAGATGAAGCAGCTGATAGAGGAGCACTACGTGGGCAACGTGATCATCTGCGACGTCCGGGTGTACGGGGGCAGCCTGCTCAGCCACAAGTACAACTGGATCTGTGATGAGCTGATGGGAGGAGGGGGGCTGCACACCATGGGCACCTACATTATCGACCTCCTGACCCACCTCATCAGCAGGAGGGCAGAGAAGGTGCACGGGCTGCTCAAGACCTTCGTGAAGCAGAACACGGCCATCAGCGGGATCCGCCACGTCACCAGCGACGACTTCTGCGTCTTCCAGATGCTGATGGGCGAGGGGGTCTGCTGCACCGTGACCCTCAACTTCAACATGCCCGGCTCGTTCATCCACGAGGTCATGATCGTGGGGTCCGCCGGGCGCCTCATAGCCCGCGGGACGGACTTGTACGGGCAGAAAAACACCGCCCTCCAGGAAGAGCTGCTGTTTACAGACTCGCTGAGCGTCAACAAGGGCCTTTTGGACAAGGGCTTTAAAGACATCCCGCTGCTTTACCTAAAGGGAATGGTGTACATGGTGCAAGCCCTGCGGCAGTCCTTCCAGGACCAGGAAGACCGTCGGACGTGGGACCATAAACCTGTGTCCATGGCAGCCTCTTTTGAGGATGGCCTGTACATGCAAAGTGTGGTAGAGGCCATCAAGAAATCGAGTAGGTCGGGCGAGTGGGAGGCTGTGGAGGTGATGACCGAGGAACCAGATGCCAACCAAAACCTCTGTGAGGCACTTCAAAGAAATAACTTATGAATATTCCTGCCTTGGAAAATAGGACAATTAACACTTCTGGCTGTAATGTAAAAAAAAAAAAAAAAAACCCTCTGTTTTTAAGATATGTATATTCTTATTTAATAGCCTGAGTTTCTTGGTTTTTTAAAACGTGTGAAATAATGTTCTGATAGGAACTGTTCTGGTTTAAATTGTTTAAAAGAGTTTTAAATGTTTCTGTTTTTAGCAAACATTTAATTTTTTTGTCTTGGAGACTGGTAGGAAAACTTGAATTGCCCTTTGCACTTGCAGTAGCTGAAGTGAATCATGGGATCTCTGCCGTTGCACGGCTTGGAAATGGGATACAACCCCTGTTGCACAGGTCTGATTTAACCATGAGAGCAATGTAGAGCAAGATCAGGGAGTATCTGTTGTTCAGATGCCTTTTTCTTCTCTCGGAGACTGATTTACATTTTAATCCTCTGTTTGTAAAATTTTATAAAACATTTTAGTGATGTAACAGGTCTCTAAACTCCCGTAGGACAAAAAGTAGAAGGAATGGATTAGAGTTTGCAACATAAGGATCGGCCTTTTGTCTTCCTACACGTGGCAGATGTCTTTCAAATTCATTTAAACTGGTGTTTTATTTAAATTATACTACAATTCTCTGTTGTTGGTGTCTTGGCAGGAAAACCTTCAGGAAGTCTGTGATACATTGTGCTATTCTACCATATCTGTAGACGTTATTCCTTCTACTGAAGAGGCTGCCTGCATCCAGCAGCTCTTTTTCCATAAGCTGTGTGTCTGTCAGTTGTGTTTACTGCCTGGCAGCCCTGGTGCCATGCCTGTGGGGCCACGTTCTCATTTCTGTGATTATTAATAAATGCCTCCCAGGGGTCACAGGACTGCCACGGTGTCGTGGGTAATGAAGTTGTTCAGCATTAGCCTTCCTGGGACCCGAAGGTGGAAGGAAGGAGGTATTTCCTACCTCTTGCAGCTCTCTTAACGTGCTGGCTGGGTCACTGTCACACTACACACATCCTGATCCTTGAGAGAACGGGGACTGAACTGCCATGGGTAAATCTGCTCCCGATCTCAAACACTGGCTGTTAACCCTCTGGTCCTGCCCATCTTCATGTCCTCCTGCAGCTTGTGTCCAGTGGAGAGATTTGCTGGCAGACGATGGGTGGAAGTTCATTCCTTCTGGGAAATGTTTCTCTCTGAGGCAGGTTTGTGGAAAGGATAGTCCAATTTTAACTATGTTTATTTTGTGTACTTGAAAGCTTTTTTTAAACAAAATGTTCTCCCACTAAATTGTAACCCTGTGTATTTATGGATATTAACATGCACGCTGCTGTTTGATAAGCTGGACCTTCCTGAAAAGTATCATGTTTTCTACAGAAATAAAAAGATGTGTTTGTTGAGGGCATTCTTTATGCACCTGTGTGCTCGTGTTTGATTTGGTCAAGCTAAAGCCATCCTAGTAAAAGTGAACAGGAGACTTACCTTTGGGTATTTACTTTCCACACAGTAAACCTGACAGAAACAGGTCTAGTGATGTGCTGTTTTAAAGTGGAGGAGCGTGGCTGCTCCTGTGCTCTGCGCAATCTCATCCCTGCTGTGAGCTAGGAAAAAAAAAGTGAAGGGTTAGGCTGGATATTAGGAAAAGGTTTCTCAGCCAGAGGGTGGTTGAGCAGTGGAACAGGCTGCCCAGGGAAATGGTGGCAGCAGCAAGACTGGCAGAGTTCAAGAAACATTGGGACAATGCTCAGAGGCACATGGGATTCTTGCGGTGCCCTGTGCACGGCCTGGAGTTGTACTTGATGATCCTTGTGGGTCCCTTCCCACGCAGGATATTTTGTGATGGTACGTTTCCATGCTTCTAATCACTGTTCCCAGCTGTAGCAGGAGGGGCAGTGAAAGCTGCATCTCTGCCAACCTTCCTTTTAGGGGTAGAGGTCTGGTGTCCCTGCCATAGCTCTGAGCATCTAATGCCTGTGGTGTCTGTGTGCTATGTAAAATGGGTGAGATGATGTCTCCCGAGCTCACCTGAAAGTCCCCACCTTCATTTAGATAGCCCAGCTCTGGCTGATTTCATGCCAGTTTTGGGTCTGTTATGAAGTTGTTCTCCTTGAAATGAGAACCTTTGTCAGTATGTTTGTACTGGGAAAAAAAATCCTAAAGTAGAGTTCCTACAGGAGAAGAAGGAAGCACAGAACACCTCCGGATGATCCCAGCGAAGGAAGCGGGATGCCAAGACTCCTCCTTGGGTTGAGCCAGAGACGCGACCGCGGAACTGCGCGGGGAGGTGAAAGGGGCGCGCAGGAGCGCCGCTTTGGACGAGGCGGATCCCAGCGCCGCGAATCCCGGATTTCCCCGTGCCATCCCCGTTTGTCCAGCGCGGCTGTCGTGCACCGGAGCCCGGGGCCGGCCCCGGGGGGGGGTCAGCGCCCTGCCGGGCCCAGCGGCGGGGCCGGGGCAGCGGGGCCAGGCCCGCCCATGCCGGCGGAAGCGGCGGTTGCCGGGGCAGCGGCGGGGCCGGGCCGGGCCCTCGGTGCCGGCGGGCGGGCCCAGCCCAGCCCGGCCCGGCTGGGAGCGCTTCTCCGCCGCCTCCCTCGGTGAGTCCTTTCGGGGGAAGGGGGGACGCTCAGGGCGCTCCCGGGTCCGCCCGCCGAGGGTCAGGAGCGGCGGAGGCCGGGGAGGGCTGGAGCCGGGCCGGGAAGGGCCGGGGCAGGGGCAGCGCCCGCGGGGAGAGGCGGGGGACCCCCGGCCGCCCTCGGCACCCCAGGACAGCGACCCCCGGCCCCTCTCCCCGGGGGAACGGGGAGGGGGAAGGAGCCAGGAAGGGTCCCCAGGGGTGTCCCGTGTTGCTCAGCGGGTCCCGGCTCCCCGCAGGTGCTCCCGGGGCAGGGTTGGTGCCGAGCCGGCCTGGCCGGAGGGGCTCTGGGCTGCGGTACCGGCTCCAGGCTCCATCGCCTGCTGCACGTCGGGTCCTGTAATCGCAGCACGGGGCCCGTCCCCGCGTCCAGGGAGGAATCCCACGCGTCGAGGTGACGCCGGGGTGTCGTCATCTGTCCTTGCTCCTCAGGGAGAGGACTGGGCTGCAGCTCCGCTGAATACTCACATCAGTCTCTGCCCGCCTTCCACCGCCGAGCACGGCCCTCGTTCACCCTCCAGCTGCTGCAGGTCACACGTCTGACTCCCTGGGCAGACTGTCCAGGCTGGCTTTGTTCCTGAAGTGCTGTTGGTGGATACCTGGCCAGCTCCCAGGAAACATGTTCAGCATGCAAACACCAGCGTCGCGCTTGGCTGTACCTGCCCCTGTGTTTTCAGAGAGACAAAAGGGAACATGGGTCTCTGAGACTGGCAGGTGGGGAAGAGCTGGTGAGACCCCGGGGGAAACAGCATGGGGAATAGTATTAAAAGGAGAATATTGACCTCTCTCATTGCAGTCAGCAAGCTTAGACAGGGACTGGCACCACTTGGGTAGGTCCACAGCACATGGACCTCATTTCCTGACCCCTGATTCTGCAGGAGGAATGGTTGCAGATCCAAGTGCTTCCCTGTTTTGGCGCAGCCCTCAGGCGTAGAAGTTATCCTGATGTGACTTTCCATTTCAGCTAAAACTGTTGAGGAAGGAATCAAGCATGCAAGACCAGCTGCACGGAGATTAGCCCTTTGATTTGCTGCAGATGACTTGTTCTGCTTATCACAGCTTATCGCAGCCGTGGGATGATTTTTCCCATGCTTTTTGCAGAGATTGGCTCACGAAGGCAAGAAGCTGGGCTGATGTCAGCTCTGTGTGTGGTAGCAGCTTCCTGGCCAGGGACCCAGGAACAGCGAAAATGTCGTCTGTGAGGAAGAGGGAATGCTTCCAAGTCAGATGCAGTGGGTTCGAGGTTGTGAAATACATCTGCCCCAGCCTTGTCCGTTCCCGTGTGTTTTGTAGTTTACTTTGATGCCAAAAACAAGCAACAAAGGGAAGCCGTGGTTCTTAACAGGCTCTGAAAGGTCTCAGTTTGCCAAGGAGATAAGTAGCATTTTTACCACTTGGTCAGCTGCAGCAAAGGGCACAAAGAGTCGAGTTAATGGTTACTAAACTTGCAGGGGCGCTCTGGGAGAGAGAGGGCTGGAGCCTGCATTGCTTGACTCCTAGGCCAGCATTAAACTGTGGTCCTGGGGGGGAAGTGAGCAGCCTGCCAGGCTCAGCCAGGCTGAGTGAGCAATGCATAAGTTGTTGGGTTACCCTGTGCCTCCTGTGCAGGGCAGGGAATGGGGCTGGGGCAGCCCTGTGGCTGCTTTTCCAGTGAGTGTACAGGCTGGCACGGGGTAAGAACAGAGAGGAGTTGCACACGTGTATCTGTGTACCTGGACTTAACCAGCCTGTTCTGCAGAGTCTGCCTGCATCTCACAGCCTGTGAATGCACTAAGTGGTGCCTTTCTGGTGGGAGCAGGTCAGGTATTGTGTTGTTGATGTTTAGGTTTCTAACGTGGTGATAACAGGAGATGCTGTCCTGGGTGCAGACAGTGATCAGGTCAGCCCACAAGGGCTGACTCTGTTCCCTGTTCCCTCTCCACTGTGCTCACAAGCACATGCTCCTGCTGTGTTTCCCTGGTGCTTGATCCAGTGCTTCTCCGATCCCCATGTGCAGGGAAAAGCCAAATTACTTGTGGATAGGAGGTTACACAGGTAGAGAACGAACCCAGCAAAAGAAATTACTTGTTTGATGGAGGGTTAGTGAGTGGAATTGTCTCAGCACAGGACTGTTGGTGCTGCAGAGCTGCCCCAAGAGGCCAAGCAGGCAGGAATGGCGGCAGAGGAGCTCCACACATCCCCACTTGGCAGAAGTGAGACACAAGCTTCTCTCACTCGTGTCCCCCAAGCAGGGCCACGGTCAGCAGGAGCAGAACAGCAGCTTGGGAATTCTGTGCCATTGGTTGGTAACTGAGGTTTGGCAGCTGCTTCCCAGGGTTGGGAGACTGGCACTGGGGGCCTGTGTCCCACGTAGGGGCGTTTGCTGTAGGTACCCAGATGGGCAAGATGCTTACTGTTGTAATGAGGTTGTCTGATCCTGCCTGATCCCAATCCAGAGGTGATGTGACTTGCAAATCAGGGAGTGGGTGTCATTTGCAAATTCCCTGCAGCAGGGCAGGGTGCAGTTGGGATGTGAAGGTAAAAAATGAGCCTTCCATCCCCCACCTCCCATCAACCTGCCTTTCCTCCTTCAATCCCCAGCAATAATTGTCTGCTCTGTTACAGGTCTTGATTTCAGCCTGTCATTTTGCGTGTAAATTACTGGGTTGGAACGCGAGTTCAGATCAAGATCAGATGTGCATTTCAAGGCCAGTAGCTGTTCTGGAGTGATCTCATGGTGAGTGCTTCCCCCTCCCCCCCCTTTTTTTTTTTTTTCTAGAATAAGAGAGCCTGTTCTGGCTTAGTTGGATCCATTATCAAGGAGATTAAATAATACCAAGCCAGCGTCCTTTTATCTCTGGCTGAGAGTCTGTGCCTGCTTTTCAGAAATAGCTTTCCCAGAGCAGCTGGGTTCAGGCTGCACATGCATTGCTGGTGTGCAGCAGTCAGCACTGCTTACATTGCTGCTGTGTCCAGGAGATGAATAACAGCGTTTTGCTAATGGGTCTCATGTCAACAGGGGTGATTTACCAAGGAAGACTGCAGTGCATTAGTTGCCATGACTCAGACTCACTCAGCCTTGTGCTGATCGTTTATTGGTTTATAAATTAAACTGCAGATGCTGCGTCCCGTCAGTGCCGGCACGCCGAGGATCCTGAAAGGGGTTTCTTCCCGGAGAGTTGGCTCAGAAACCTTTAACTGACTGCCTCAGGAGTCAGGGCATGCAGGTTGGAGCCCCAGCTCTCACAGCAGTGACTCCAGCCACACGGCCCTGGCACCTGTCAGGATCATGGTGTGACTCTGATGAGGCGTCTGCTGAGAGCTCACCAGCAGTCTGAGCCTGCTGGGGTGGCATCCTCCATCCTCACGCTCTGAGCAGGGAGTTCAGTCCCTCGGGTTCCTTGTAAGCACAGAAGTGCTGTCCAGGGGATCTTGATGAGCAGCACAGCTCCTGTCCCCCTTCCTGCTGGAAGGGTCTTTTCTCCTCCTGTCATGGGGAGGGGAAAAACAACAGGGATCAATGTGGGCCAGGGCAGGGACTTGCAGATCTGTGCTGCACTGAAAAGTACTTTAGAAATTAGAGATATTTTTGTTTCTAAGCAGGTGACTCTGTTCTCCCCAAGACCTGAGAAACCAGCTGGGTTCTTCCCCATAAACGCAATATCTGCCCCTGCATGATCCTTCCGTCAAGTGTTTTATCTTGGTTCCTTTTAAGGTTCATCCCCAGCCTGCTCAGGGGTGGTGACAACACAGGTGTGTTCTCAGGGTGGGAACAGCCTGGTGGAGCAGGGGCTTCAGCTT